CCGCTCGCAGCCGCAGCCCCCAAAAAAAGAGGATTATGAGCGAGCCATGAGGCGGCTGCGGCGCTGGGCGTTCGCGGCGCAAAAAAAGCTGCTGCCGCTGCTCCCCCCGCCGGGTGAGTGCCCCCGGTCCCGCCGCCCCCGGCCCCCGCCCCGGCTTTTGCGGCGCTTTCTGCTGCAGCCACATTTTCCTGCAGTCCTAAAAAAAACAGCAGGTCCGAGCGCGGCGGGGGGGGCGGGGGAGGAGGGAGAGCGCGTGCAAAAAAATGTCCCCATCTGGCCCGCCCCACCGCGGCCAGCCCCCTGCCGCCGGCCGGCGGACTCTGCAGGTCTCTGCGGGTTGGCGGGGTGGGGGGGCAGTCGTGACGGGCCGGCGGGAGGGAAGCTCCTGGCCCCCTCCCCATCGGGCTCTTCCCTCTGCAGGGGAGCAGATCCTCCCGCCCAGATCCCCCTCCCCCAGGGCTCCAAGGGCCACACCAGAGCGGGGGATGAGGTGAAAAAAACCCAGTCCCAAGTCTCCTGCCCCTCGGTGGGCAGCCGCCTGCAGCTCTGGCCTTGTCTCCCCAGGTCTTGGGACCCGGGGTCCCTTCGGAGCTCTGCGCTGGCGGGTCTCAAAAAAAATGGGGCGTCCGGGAGCCCCTGAGGTCACAGAGCCCAGCCGTCTGGTGGGGGAGAGCTCTGGGGGAGAGGTCCGAAAGCAGCAGTTGGACACCAGGGTCCGCCAGGAGCCACAAAAAAACCCGGTGAGTGGGGTTGGGTGGTGAGGCCAGGGGGCTGAAGCAGGCCTGGAGCCCAAGGAAGGCCACCGGGCTGCCAGGGTTTGGGTCCCCCCACCCTACCCCACACGCTGAAAAAAACAGCTTCTCCTGCACGATGGGCTGCCCACCTGATGGGTGCTGGAGCCCACTAGTGGGGAGCCCTGGCCCCACTCCAGGCCCCCCCTCCAATCATCATGGGGATCCCCTGCCCTCCATGGACCCTGAATGCCCAGGACTCATGCAGCCTCGGGTCAGCCTTCCACCCGCCCCCACTCCCCTCCTGCCAAAGCAAGTGGTTCTACCTCAAATGGGGCTTCGGCCGGGAGCAAAAAAAAACAGGGAGAGGCCGCTAAGATCCCAGGCACCGGTTAGGTAGGGCTCCTGTTTAAAAAAACAGCCACCCTCAGCGGGCTTTCTTGGAAAGGCTCAGTGCTTTCTCCTGCCTCAGTTTCCCTCTGTGCACTGATAGGCTTGTCTTTCTTCCTGTCCTTGCTGAGGGTGGGGTAAAAAAAAAAGGTTGGAGGCCCCAAGCTCACCCACAAATGCCAGCTCCATCTGCCCCATTCCCCCCCCACCCCATCCCTTTCAGCTGCCAGGCCCCTCCTGCCTCCCGAAGGAAGGTTAAAAAAAAAGGAGATTAATTGCAATTAATAATTAATTAATATCATGTGAATAATAATTAAAAAAAAGGAATATTCAGCACTCCTCGGCTCTCCAGGAGCTGGAAGCTGAAAGTTAGCCAGGCCAGCGGTGGGGGAGGGGGCGGAGGGAGGGATGGTGAAGGCCTGGCAGAAATAGGAAAAAAAAAGGAGAGACTCAGAGGAGGGGTGCAGCGGAGGTCTGGGAAGTTTTGGCAGCTGGGAGTGGTGGGAGGTAAATTGGGCTGGGCAGAGAGAGGAAGGAGGGAAACGGACATCTGTCAGACTGGCATCTGGCCCTGCCTAATGTACTTGGTTAAAAGCCCTTAGGGGGGGTGGAAAAAAATGGGGGGGGGCTCAGGGGGGATACTCGGGAAATGGAATGGAGCAGGAAGGCAAAAAAAATAATAGATGGACCATCAGTCAAGGCGGGGAGGGGGAGGGGCTGCTTAATGGTCCCAGGCAGGCAGGCCTGGGGGTGGGGGGGGATGGGGTGGCAGTGGGGCAGGGGTTGGAGGCTGCCTCCAGTGTCTGCCCAGGCTCCTTGGGAGGTGGGAGATGGGCCATAGGATGATCCCAAGGCCAGCGATGGGGGGTCCTGGCTGGGTTTGGACCTTGGTCCAGCTTTCTTCCTAAAAAAAACCCCCCCCAAGAACTGTGCACCCCAAGCCTGTGTTGGCTGGGAGTTGACTGCCCAGCCTGTTGCTGGGGCCCCTGGTAGGTGCTTCAGGGGAGGTCCAGATGGAGGATGGGGTGATGCCATGGTGTGGTCAGAGGACAGTGCTGGCGGAAGGCGTGGGGGCCGGGTAGGGATGAAGAATGGAGTGCTTCCTCAGCCTAGTCCTTCCTGGAGGGAGAGTGGGGGAGGGTCCCGGGCTATGGTGGCACCTGGGACTGTGTTGGGGGGTGACCAGAACGGATGTAGCTGGAAAAAAAGAGTTGGGTATGCAGACGACAAGTGTCGTTCTGCTGTGTGATGTGTGTGAGCGACCAAGTCTGAATGTGCCCAACGGGGTGTCTGAGGGGGTGAGGGTAGGAGTGGAGGGTTCGTGGATCTGTGGGGCAGTGCTCACCTCCAGTGGGGGCCTCTCCAGCATTGAGCCTTTCTAGGGACCTCCCCGCAGCCTCCCCAGGGGACATACTTGTAGCCCTGCCTCACCTGTACCTCAGTCTCCCCTGAGGTGGATTTCTCACAACTCCATAAGGAAGGTGACTTTTGCCTGCAAAAAAAACAGATGAGCAAACTGAGGCTCAGAGAGGTTGAGTAACTTGCTCAAAGTCAAAAAAAAATCAAGCAGCGGAATGAATCTCTCCAAGACCAGGTGCTTCTCACTGCACCATTCTGCCTCCAGGGACTCTCCATTTTGGCACCAGGGCAGTGCCACCCAGCAAGATGGAAGAAAAAAAAGGGAGACAAAGAGACATGTCCAAAATAGTTCCCCCTGACCGGAAGGAGACATAAAAAAACTCTACTCCCACCTGGCATTTCTTCCTGAGGCATTTCTGGCGTTGGACTGTTGGGGCTGATGACGGAGCCTGTGCAGCCCTGAGCCCGGGTCCCCACTGAGCCCGGGTCCCCACAGGAAGTGCCACACCCTGGCACTGTTGGGCTCAGGGCAAAATTATTGCATTGACTTGGGGCCTCAAGCCCAGCGAGGTTTTGGAGCAGCAGCAAGATCTCTATTTGCTGTGGGTCAGGTGGCGAGTCTGGGGGAGCACTCTGGCCGGCAGGACTGGGGGGGGGGCTTTGGGTGCAAAAAAACTCTGGCCTGGTCACATCACCTGTCTGAGGCCTAGCTTCCTGATCCCTAAAAAAAAAAAGATGATAATATTCATCTCAGCCTCATCCACCTCCCGGAGGTGGTGATAGGAAAAAAAAATGTGTGCTGAGGGCTCCTGGCTTTTGTGGGGAGGGGAGGGCGGGGGTGCGGGAAAAAAAAGGTGGCCAGGAAGGAATTAGAAGCTAGAGAAATGACAATTTACTGGGCCCTTACTGGGGCAGTGTTATGCCTTTCCACGTACTGAGGTATGTAATGATCATCACAGCTGTAAAAAAAGGGGCTGTTGTTATTCCTGTTGTACAGATGGGGAGACGGGCACAGAGAGGTGAGGTAACAAGCCAGGTCACACATCACTTAAGTAGCGGAATCAAGACTGAGGCCCAAGATTGATGCTCTAAGTCCGCCTGCCTCCCGCTCAGGGGTATAGTGAGTGAGGGGGGTCACGGGGGCCCCATTGCTCTCAACACCTCGCTTTTGTCCAGTTTGGAAGCAGGCTGGGCCTGAGAAAAAAAGAGGAGGGGGAGTTTCTGGAAGTGCAGAAACCTGTGGTCAAAGGGAGCCTGAAAAAAAAGATTGAGACAGAAGAACAAGCAGGGCCACCATGGGCAGTTGGCCTGGTTGTTCACTGCACAAGAGTGCCCGGGCAAGTGGACTGAATGAAATCTGTAGGCTCATGAGGCTAAAAAAAACTGAGGGGAACCTTTTTCTAATCCACACAGAGCTGCTGTGTGGGTCATGTCTAAAAAAAAGGGAAATCCAGACTCCTTCAGAACCAAGACAAGGGCAAGATGTGGGGAAGCAAACAGAATTGAGGGTGGAGAGGTTCCAGGCTCCAGGCCTAGGAGACAGACATACTAGAGCCAGCCGGAGGGGGGGGACCCCAGTCACTGGGCTGAGCTCCTATGAAAGCTGTCCAGACCAGTGTTTACTGGAAATGCTACCCCCGAAGCCCTCGGCAGGTTGGTGTTTTCTTGCTGTAGGGGTGGGGGCCAATCCGGCAAGGCTCAGTCCCCAGCCCTTACTAGATGGCAGTCCTCGGCAGGGAGCCACAGGGCCTTGGGCCTGGAGCCCTCATACCCCACTAGGGCCATGGCCAAAAAAAGTCTCTGCAGCCAAGGTTGCAGCTCTGTCCTGGGATTGGAGGTAGGAGATGGTTCCCGGGAGGGGGCTGGTGGCTGGAAGGCGCCCCTGGGACTTGTGTTGGCCAGCCCCGCCGCCTCCCCCCTCCGCCCCACCCCGGCTTGCTCTGCAAAGGTGAGGGCCGTGAACTGAAAAAAAACACGAGACTAAGCTTGGGTCTGAAAGGCTTTGGGGGTGGCGGTGGGGGGAGCAGCCTTGGCGGCTCCTGGTTCTGCTGCCTCTGAATCCCACCTTCCTCACCCATAAAATGGGGCTAAGAGTCGTCTCCATCTTGCCAGGCTGCTTGGAGGATCAGAGGCGATGATGTTTAAAAAAAGTCCTGCCTAGGATCTGGCAAGAACAGATGTTCAACATCTGTGAGGCCTGCCCTCGCTCCCGAGTGTTCGGGGCGGGGTGTGGGCAGCTGGACTAGCATGAGGGCTGGTGTCCGAGACAGAAGCCTGGGCATTTGGGGGTTACCTGTCAGGCTCCGGGTGGTGCTGGTGGGGGTGGGGACAATGCGGCAGCAGTCTTGAGTCCTCCCCAGACTCTGGCCTGTGGGCTTGGCCTTGCCTGATCACCCCCTCCTGGTTGCCTAGAGGACCCCAGTTGCCTAGAGTCTGTCAAAAAAAGGACTCATGACCCTCTAAGGAAGTGACTCTGTCCTCAAAAATGTAGGTAAAAAAAAAAAATCAGAAATTTTTTCAACTGTTCTGTCTGGGATTCCCACAGTCCTGCTGATCAAAAAAACCTCAGCACATCGTGGGCGACAGCTGCCGTGGGGAGGGGATGTCTCCCCCACCCAGGTGGGGCTCCTGCATCTCTGGCTCCTTGCCGTCTGCAGCCACCCAGCCCATGTGGAAAAAAAGGTTCCTCCAAGCCCTGCTCAGCGGGAACATTTACACTTTGTTCTTCAACTGAAAAAAATATGATTACTAATCCTTGTGATAATAACACATTAAGAAGGGCTTCCATCTGAAAAAAAAGACAACCCCATCCTACCGATGGGGAAACTGAGGCTCAGGCCTTCTGATGCCTTTCCATTCAACATGAGTGTGGAGCCCCTGGGCAGGGGGAAAAAATGGGCATGTTGTGTGAAAAAAAGACTAAAGGTGGCCGTGTGAAAAGTTGAATCAGTGATCAGAGATGTCCAGAGAAAAAAACCTAGGAGAGGGGGGTTGAGGTGGGGTGACGGGCCAGCTCAGGAGTAGAGGGTCCACAGCACTCATGGGTTGGGGGGTGCGGGCTTTGCAGATGAGGGTGAGGAGGAGAAAAAAAAAAGAGGAGATGGGGGTTCTGGTGGAGGGATTTGGGGTGACAGTTTGAAGGGCAGAAAAAAAACACTCAAATATACTGGAGCATCTGAGAACCCCCAAGACCCTCAGTCTCCCCAAAAAAAAGACTGTGATTCTGTGGGTCTAGGCTGGCGGCCTGGCGTCTGCATTTGTGATAAAAAAACTTCAGTGGGATTTTTGCCTCCTTCCTTCTGCCCCCTGAATCTGGCTGAGCCAAAAAAAGGCCATAAGCCCAAGCCGAGGGGTGGACGGGCTGGTAACAAGGGAGCCTCAGGGAGGGCAGTCACCGAAGCCAGGTGGCCGAGCTGCTGTGGCAGACGTGAACCCCAGCCCCCCCAGGCTGAGATCTGACCCCGCACCTCCCTAGCATGGCCCTGGGCCAGTCACCTCCAAGTGTCTCTCCCTGAGCTTTGGCCTGCCATTTGTAAAATGAGCACCAGACAACCTGGGCAAAAAAAGATCAAATGAGCCAGGGCATGTGAGAGCCGGATGGCCGGGGAGTGACAGGCAAGAGCAGGGCACGGGGTCGAGGCCCGGCCAGCCAGTCACCGGCAGCGCTGAGCTGGGCACGGGGGAGGGTGGGCGGGTGGCAGGGGACAGAAGGGGCTCCCAGGGGAGGAACTGAGGGAAAAAAAAAGAGGTCAGGGGCAGGTCAGGGGCAGGAGGCAGACCAAGTAAGGAGCTGTTAAAAAAAGATAGAACTCGGGCCTAAAGCTTGGCTGGGGGAGGGGGGGGTGTCTTAGGAGAAAAAAACCAGCAGGAGGTGCCTGGGGTACAGAGTTCCTTGGGACTGAGGTGGGCTTGCCTGATCTTTCACTTCCTGCAGACAGAGGTTGTCCCCATGTAGCCCCTGCCCAGCTTTCTAAAAAAACTCCCCTTCCTCTAGCACCTTTGGTGGCTCCCTAGCCCTCCCTGGGCTGTCTCCTCTCAGGCCCAGCCCCCAGCCCCAGCAGCTGCCCTTGCCCTTATCTGGCCTGGGCCCTGGGTCCTGCCGGGGAAGGGGCAGCCCAGCCCAGGGTAGGCCTGAGCAGGTGGGGAGCAATGAGGCTGCAGGAGGTGGTGGGGACAGAAAGGACCCTAGTGTCTGCTCTTCCACCAGTCTGGGCTTTCCCCAGAGTGGGGGTCAGCTTGGTCTGCACAGAGATGGGGGAGGCCAGATAAAAAAACTTGCTGACTTCCTGAGTGGTGGACATTCTACTAGCACCAGGGCCGACGCTGCCAGAACTCTCCTGGCCCAAGACGACCCCCACCACACAAAGCCAGCTTCACAGCCTTGCAAAAAAATGGGCTCATCGTACCATTTTCAGTGGGAAAATCTGAGGCTCAGAGAGGCTGCAAAAAAATCCCTGAAGCTGCACAGCCTGAGAGAATGGGCTTGGGCCAAGGGGCCTGGACAAAAAAACCCTCTGGGGGGCCCGTAGGGGCAGAGATAGGGGCTTATCAGTGGGGGGGGCAAAAAAAAAGAACAAGCGGATACAGACCTGAGGACAGGGGAGGGCACAGGTAGTTCAGGCAGGAATGGATGGGGAAGGCAGAGACAGACCAAACCCAGGAGAGGAGAGGGAGGGCAGGGACAGTCCAAGCCAAGGGCGTGGCGTGGGAGGGGTACAGGTAGTCCAGGCCCAGGGGCAGGGAGAAAGCAGAGATGGTCCAGGCCAGGGCAGGAAGGAAAACAGTGACTCCGTGTCTTAAAAAAACTGTTTCAAATCTGATCGACGCTCTGGGGGCTTGGGATAGAGCTTGAGCTCAGTCAGCCTGGGATGGGGTGAGTCAGTGTCCTTGGAGCTCAGAGGGCTGCCTACCTGGGCGCTGGCCCTTCACCCCACCTCAACCCCCCTCTCCTAGGGCCTCTCATGGACACTTGGCCAAAAAAATCTTACTTCACCTTTGGGGTGAGAAGGCCTTGGAAGCTGATTCTGTAGGCTTAAAAAAAAGCTGCACCACTTCTTAGCTGTGTGACTTTGAGCAAGTTAGTTAGCCTCTCTAAAAAAAAGGCTCCCCATCTGTCAGAGGAGGGTAGCAGTGGCTTCTATCCCACTGGCTCAAAAAAATCAAATATGATAATGCTTGTATTTAGAACAGTGCCTGGCACATAAGTACTCAAAAAAAATGAGAAATCTAGGTGGCTGATAAGAAAGCCAACTAGCACCAGGCTATGAGATAAAAAAACCTTGGGGCTCCCTTCCACCCTGCAGCCTAGGAGAAAAGCCTCACACCTGCATGGCCCGGTGGTAGGACCCTCACCTGGGGGTCTGGGTTCCAGTCTTCTTAAATGGATAGGGGCGTGGAAAAGGCTCTAGTCCCTCTCAGGCCCTTGCTGTGCTTCCGGGTCTTTTGTGAGACCTGATGCTTGGAGTGGGGATGTGAGAGTCCCCCTCATCCCCTTAGCACACACTCTAAAAAAACTTCTCTTGAGGTCACTGTTCCTCCAGGCACACTAGCTTCAGGTCTGGAGTCAAAAAAACCCGCAGAAGCTGGGCGCCCAGACCTGGTAGGGCAGCCATCTTGCTGAGGCCTGGTACGTCGCCATGACAACCTGGAGCCTCCCAGCCCCATTGCAAAGGCCCCTCTGAAAAAAAAAACAGGAAAACTTCCGTGTTTAAAAATTAACCATGGGATTGAAATATTAAAGATAAAAAAATTTGGGCAAGGCAGAGGGCAATGGACTTGGGGGTGGAGGAGCCAAGTTCCCTCCTCCTGACAGGATGGCATCTGCCCATCACCCCAGCTTCCAGTTCCAACCCATGCTACCCTGTCTGTAGAGTCCGAGCCTCCTCCATCAATTGAGGCTGGGGCCAAGATGCAGGAAGGAAAAAAACTGGTTTGCAGGGCCCGGGGGTCACACTGCACCCCCATCTCCAGTTTGCCCCTTTCCCATGGTACTCCTGGGGGGCTCTCTTTAGTCCACTTGAGGGCGGGGCTGGCCCTGAAAAAAACAGGGAGGGCCTGGCATGAAGCAGTGGGCAGGCTGAACTGCCTTCCACCCCTGCTGCTCAGGTAGCCTGGCCCTAGGGGGTGCCAACACCAGAGAGGGTGGGCTGGCACCTAAAAAAAATGCTGCTCACCGAGCCCTGGCCCAGAGGGTGGCTGTGTGCCAGGACGCATACTCCTGCCCCTGCCCCCAGGAAAGGAACAGGGTCTTGGAGGAAGATGAGCTCTTTCCCCAAAAAAAAACGGTCCCCTTAGCTGCTGGGCTGCTCCATCCCCCCCCGCCCCCCAGCGCTAAAAAAAGTCCTGAGGTTCCCCAGGTTGATTCCCCTCCGCCCTGCCCCCACCCCCAGCCAAAAAAACTGGCCCAAGTGAGTTTCGTCATCCCAGCCTTCAACTCAAACTTCACTCTGGACCTGGAGCTGAACCAGTGAGTGTGGCCTTGAGCCTGGAAGGAAGGGCAGCAGGCGGGTGGGCAAGGCATGGACTTGACTTGGCTGGGTGGGGAGACGGGGGCAGGGCTGGGGCAGGGGACCTGGATCTGAGCTGAGGTGGGACCCAAGTCTGATCCAGCCCCAGCAGCGACCCCCCAAAAAAACTCCTGCCCCGCTCTGTCTGTTTCAGTCACCTCCTCTCCTCGCAATATGTGGAAAAAAATTTTAGCCGGGAGGGGACAACCCAGCACAACACCGTGAGTGCCTTTGGAAGGAAAAAAAGGAGATGGAATGAAGGGGCAGGTGGTCATTGGAGATGGGGTCCAAGGTATACTCTGTACTTGGGTGGGCCCAGCCCCTTGGGACCCTCCATCTCTCCTCACCATGGAGGCTAAAAAAATTGGAGTCAGAGTGGCGTATTGAATGGCATGGAGCCTGAGCTCCCTTCACCCAGCTCCCAAGGTCTGACTCCCAGCCGGCCTCTCTGCCTGACATGGAGGCCTTCAAGGACCCTCCCTGCTCCCTGCCCAGACTTTTCTAGGAGGTGGCCGTTGGGGAAATGCCCTTCTTACTCAGCACCAAAGCCTTGGAAATTCCTGGCTGCCCGCGACACCAGGGTCCCAGCCCCAGAGGCCCAGGGGCTTGAGCAAAGATGAATAAGTGTCTATATAAATAGCCTCCTCCCCACAAAAAAACCCCCCAACCAGCCGGTTCAGGAACTGGAGCACAAGTAATTCTGCAGGAGCAAAAAAAAGGGTGCTTGTCCCCTCTGACCCGAGAGCCCCGGCCAAGAGGACACATGCTGCTCACAGTTCCTCAGCCGCAGACCGTGTCCGCCTAGGCGGTGGTGTCTGTGAACACACTGTGTGTGCACTTGTGTGAGCTGGGGCTGAGTCCACAGCTTTCATCTGATTAAGTGAGCTCAAAAAAATAAGTGCTTAGAGCCGTGCCTGGCCCCCGAGTGCTAGCTCTCCTCAGAGGAGAAAAAAAACTATGCACCAGCCCCTCCCCCGTTCCCCTGCCCTGTCTGTTGCAGACACCCAAAAAAACCCCCCCCCCCCCCCCCCGCCCCGCAATGGCTAAGAACCACTGAGGTAGCGCAAAAAAATCATCTTGTAGGTGAGGTGAAGGGGGCCCAGGGAGGACTAGGCACCCGCCCAAAAAAAAGAGCAAATTAGGAGCACATCCAGAGTAGGACCAGGCTCCAGGTCCCCAGGTGTACCCAGGGACCATGGCCAGCTGCACACCCAGCAGCCGCGGGGCCCCTCCCTGCTCCTCAAAAAAACACACCAGGGCTGGGGGGCATGTCTGCTCATGTTCTGCTCCTCCTCCAGGGGAAAAAAAATCACTGCTACTACCAGGGGAAGCTCCGGGGCAACCCCCAATCCTTTGCTGCCCTGTCCACCTGCCAGGGGCTGCAGTGAGTACAGGCAGGGGCTGGGAGAAGGGGAAGAGCCTTTGTCCCTGGCCTGGGGATGCAGGTGGGGACCTGCGCCTCTCTCTCTGCAGTGGGGTCTTCTCTGATGGGAACTTCACCTACACCTTGGAGCCCCGCGAGATGGCCAGGACTCAGAAAAAAACACAGGTGAGCCCCTCACGGTGCCCTCTGACAGCCCTGCTGCGCACGCACACAAAAAAAGGCTTGTCCCAATGGCTGTCACTGCCTCCTCCCTTGGTGACTCAGCCTTACTAAAAAAATCAGTCACCCCAGCTCTGGTTCCCTTCCCCTGTGCCCTCAGCTCCAATGTCCCCTCTGTCCCCCAAGTAACCTCCCGTCGGGCTCCAGTGTCCTTTGCCCCTATCTCTCAGAAAAAAACCAGGTCTTGACCCCGGAATCTGAGCATCTGGGAGATCAGATCCGACATGGGAAAAAAAGCCAGTTCTGGGTCACCCTGGGGTGGGGTGGGGGGGAGGGCTGGAGCTGTCCAAAAAAAGGGCTCAGGAGCAGACCTGGTCGGCCCTCCCCCCCGCCAAAAACTAATTCCCAAAAAAATCAGGGACCCCTTCCCCACCTCATTTACCGGACCCCTCTCCTCCCAGTCCCCCTCGGATGCAGGGAACCAGGTAAGGGAGGGAAAGTGGGGCTGGGGAGGGGACCGGCTGTAAAAAAATCACCTGGCCCCTCCCCCCAGGCTGCCTATTTGCTGCCCCTGCTCATTCTGCAAAAAAAAACCGGCCGAGGCTGAGAAGGAAAAGGCAGGTACGGGGGCCCGCACAGACCTCGGGCTGCGGAGACCTCGGGCTGCGGTCCAGAGCAGAAGGACACCCCATCCATGACGGGGGCAAAGGAGGGCTCAGACTGATGTGGCTGGGGGCCAGGGTACCACGCCTGAGAGGAAGAAAAAAACCCCATTTCCTAACACCCGTGTCTGCACCCGCCCGAATTATGGACACACTGAGGCTGACGGCCCTCGTACCAAGGCTGGGGAGGGAGGGGGCCCCCACCAGTGGGGGGACCAAAAAAATCCCTGACCGGAGTTCAGCACCCCTGAGTCTGCCCATGGCTTGGCCCCGACGCCAGGCCTGGAGGGGACTGATCCCAAGTGCCCACCCACCGCCCAGGTCCGCCGGGGCCACCCTACCGTGCACAGTGAGACCAAGTACGTGGAGCTGATCGTGGTCAACGACCACCAGCAAAAAAATTCCCAGCCTGGGGGCAATTCTGGGAGGGGGGCCCAAAGCAGCCTGGCCCTCCACCCACTCTCTTTCCTCCCAGTTTGAGCAGATGCGCCAGTCGGTGGTCCTCACCAGCAAAAAAAACAAGTCCGTTGTGAACCTGGCAGATGTGGTGAGCCACCCCTCTTCCCTTCCCAAAAAAACCTCGCCACTGGCCCGCCGCACACATGCTTGGGGTGAACTCGGCAGGGCCCTAAAAAAACCCGACCCCCACTTCCTGAAGAGACAGACTGAGGCCCTCCTCCAGCCCTGTGCCCCCACCCTCTCCTACCCTCCAGCCCCACCCTTACCTTCTTCCCTCCGGGCCCAGATGTACAAGGAGCAGCTCAATACCCGCATCGTGCTGGTTGCCATGGAAACGTGGGCAGATGGAAAAAAAATCCAGGTGCAGGATGACCTCCTGGAGACCCTGGCCCAGCTCATGGTCTATCAAAAAAAGGGCCTGCCTGAGCCCAGTGATGCCACCCATCTCTTCTCGTGAGCCCCCGCCCCACACGTCCTGTCAGGCTCTGCTGCTTGCTGCCGCACGCAGGGTTGCTGGATGCTCGCTTGGCCCCAGGGGCTCCTGCGGGGTCTGGGACCTGGGCTCACCTTGCACCAGCCCCCCAGCCGCTTGCCATAGGCTGGGCATCTTCCCCTGTATCTTAGGCTGATGCCTCTTTTTCCGAAAAAAACTGATCTTCCTCTGCCTATCAGCTCCCCTTTTGTCCCCTCTTCTCCTGTCAAACTGTCCCAGCATCCCTTCCTCAGGGACTCAGTGCTCGGATAGAAGGAAAGAAGTCTGCAAAAAAAGATGATCTCGTAGGAGCCTGTCATGTGGCTCATGGGCAAACAAACCCAAAGAAAAAAAAGGGTTTGCCGAGGTCACACAGGCTGACATGAGGACGGGCTCCCCTCCCTGAGGGAGGGCTCTAGTGTGCGAGGCTCCCCAGTCTGCCCCTCACAGCCTAGGGAAGCCACCGAAAAAAAGGCAGGGGTTTCTCCTGCCAACCCTCTCCCTTCCAGGGGCAGGACTTTCCAGAAAAAAAGTAGTGGGGCTGCCTACGTGGGGGGCATCTGCTCCTTGTCCAGGGGTGGAGGTGTGAATGAGGTGAGCTGTGTGGGGCATGGCTGGGATGACGGTGGGGGTTAAAGGGAGAAAAAAAATGAAGGGCACGAGGGATGTAGACATTCGTGTGCTCCATCTTCCTCACCCCAAAAAAAAAAACATGGGCGCCATGGCAGTGACCCTGGCCCAGACGCTGGGGCAGAACCTGGGCATGATGTGGAATAAACACCGGAGCTCCGCAGGTATCAAAGAAGACCCCCTGTGGCCCAAAAAAAAGCCCAGACCCACTCCCAGCAGCTCTAGAAGTGAAGAGGGTGACTGTGGGAGGGGGGCAGTCCTCCACCCTCCCTTACATCCACCTGCTCACCTCTCAGGGGACTGCAAATAAAAAAACAACTGGCTGGGCTGCATCATGGAAGACACTGGGTGAGTTCTTGGGGACAAGAAAAAAAACGGTCTTGGGCGAGGGAGAACCACAGGGAGCACTGGGTGGCAGTGCTCAAGAGGCCCAGCTATTGGGCCCACTTAGGATTTCAAAAAGCCCAGTTTTCTGAGGGCACTGCAAAAAAAGACCCACAGTCCCTAGCCGGACACAAACTGGCAGCCTGTAGTGTGCGCTGTGGCCACCGGGCGCCGCCAAAGCCTCGTGTGGAGGCACCTTCCCGCCCTTAGCTCTCCAACCTCCCGCTCTGAGCCGTCCTGAGGTTTCGGGTAGGGGACAGGAGCAATGTCCGCGGCCCACTTCCGCTTGATGGGCAGGCAGGAGGATGACCGTGCCCTCTCCTGGCACGGAGATCCTAAAAAAACTCGAGATGGTCACCGAGTCGCCCCGTGCACCCCATCCCCAGTCTTGAGAAGGGGCGAGAGTGGGCTGGAGGGGAGGGCGCGGCGGGGACTCAGCGGCTCCGTCCCCTGCGCCCTGCCCAGGTTCTACCTGCCCCGCAAGTTCTCGCGCTGCAGTATCGACGAGTACAACAAAAAAATGCAGGAGGGAGGCGGGAGCTGTCTCTTCAACAAGCCCCTCAAGGTACCAGCAAAAAAACGGGGATGTGGGAGCGAGGCTTGGGCAAGGTCCCGGCCAGACTCCGACACCCCTTCCCCGTCCAGCTCCTGGACCCGCCTGAGTGTGGGAACGGCTTCGTGGAGGCGGGGGAAAAAAACGACTGTGGCTCGGTGCAGGTGAGAGACTGGTGCGGCGCCAGGTGCGGGACGAAAAAAAGCCAGAGAAGGTCTGGGTGGGGAAGGTCAGGGCTTGCCCACCTCCCTCCCCTTGTCCCCGCGTCCCTCAGGAGTGCAGCCGTGCGGGCGGGAATTGCTGCAAGAAATGCACCCTGACTCACGACGCCATGTGCAGCGACGGACTCTGCTGTCGCCGCTGCAAGGTGAGGGAAAAAAACCGCCGGGGCGGGATGGAGGCGGCACCAGGAGGGACCAGGCTGCGGACAGGAAAAAAAAATAAGGGACCGGACTCAGGGAGGAGGAGCCGCTGGAGGCGGGGCAAATATAGGGGCGGGACTTGAGGCGAAGAAAGCGCCAATGGAGAGGGAGAAGGGCGGGCGTGCGCCCCCAAGGGCCTGTTGAGAGCGGGGCTACGAGGAGCGGGGCGGGGCACCTACCCAGAGGCGGTGGGGGGGGCGGAACCGTGAGCCGGCCTGGGGGCGGTGCTGACTGGGCTGGGAGGGGCAAAAAAACGGGGCGAGGAGGGGCCGAGGGCCCAGGCCTGGGGGAGGGCGGCGGGGCCTCAAAAAAAGCGGGCGCGGAGGCCGGGGTTCTGGTTTGAGCCGCGAAACGCATCCCCTTCCAAAAAAAAGCCGCGGGGTGTGTCCTGTCGAGAGGCCGTGAACGAGTGCGACATCGCGGAGACCTGCACCGGGGACTCGAGCCAGGTCCGTCCAGTCCAGCCGCCCTGAGGGTCCCAGTGGGAGGCAACCCCTATCCTTAGAGGTTTGGCTCCGCGGGGCTATTGTTATCTGCGCCCCTCCGCTCCGCTGCTGGCGTTGCCGCTGCTGGTCAGCCTCATTTTCTTCGCCCGTGAAACAAAAAAACCATGCCTCCTGGTTTTGCTCCTTCCATCATTAAATCAGCATAGTCTGGCTGAAAAAAAAAGGGCCTGGCACGGGGTTGGTGTGTGCTCAAGATCAGAGTGTGTAATAGAAAAAAAAAACATCTCTTAAGTTCTCATTACGTGCCAGGTATTTAGTTCCATTAAGTTCTCAAAAAAATGTGAAGTAGTTACAGCAAACAGGGAGACTGGAGAGGCTATGGGACTTGCCAAAAAAAATGGTCTGAGCTCTGAGCCAGACCTCTTGTTCTTGACTTGGAAGAGCTCTGTAAAAAAAAAAGCCCCTTGAGGGGGCATTTGACACCCCTTCATTCTTCAACTCTCAGTCCTGGGGCTGCTCTGTTCAGCCCAGTCCCTCTGTCCACAGTGTCCCCCTAACCTGCACAAGCTGGACGGTTACTACTGCGATCAGGAACAGGTATGCTGGGTTGGGGCCCTCCCCCTTGGGAAAAAAAGCTCAATACAGTCTTTTTTTTTTTAATAAAGATTTTATTTATTTATTTGACAAAAAAAAACACAGCAAGAGAGGGAACACAAGCAGGGGGAGTGGGAGAGGGAGAAGCAGGAAAAAAACGGAGCAGGGAGCCCGATGTGGGGCTCGATCCGAGGACCCTGGGATCATGACAAAAAAAGAAGGCAGACGCTTAACGACTGAGCCACCCAGGCGCCTACAGTCTTTTGTTTTATATCCACTCCGACCACTCAGTGTCTCGGTCCCTTGTCTCCTGTTTGCTCCTTAGGGTCGCTGCTATGGAGGTCGCTGCAAAACCCGGGACCGGCAGTGCCAAGCCCTCTGGGGCCATGGTGAGTCTTTAGCTAGGAATGGGAGAGGGGACGACTCTGGAGGGCCCAGAATCAAGAGGCTGGGGAGGGGTAAGTTCTGGCTAAATATGCCCTCTACCGAGTGTGTGGCTCTCCAGGATCTCAGCGAACCCAGCTGGGTTGGGGGTCAGGCCAGAGTGTTGGAGGTGCAGGCCTGAGGTCCTGGGGCAGGTTCTGGGGTGAGTGGGTGACGGCTGGCATCATCTCCTTACAGCGAAAAAAAATCGCTTCTGCTATGAGAAGCTGAACGTGGAGGGGACAGAGCGTGGGAACTGAAAAAAAAAGGGGTCAGGCTGGGTTCAGTGCAATAAACAGTGAGTTGCCAAGGCTCCTGGTTGGCCTCCCCAGCTTTGGGACCCAGGAGGGTTTTTTTTCAGAGTTGGGACAGCAGGTAAAAAAATGAGCCTATGAGTCCCAGGGGAGAATATGTGAAAAATCAGGTGGTGGGGAGAGGGCAGATTCAAGTTCAGTGGTAGTAGTAGCATTTGGGTTGGAGGTCAGACTTGGGGCTCACTGTCTCCACGCTGCCCCAACAGGGATGTGCTCTGTGGCTTCCTTCTCTGCGTCAACAAAAAAAGAGCTCCTCGGCTGGGGGACCTAGGGGGAGACATCAACAGTGTTACCTTCTAAAAAAAAGGCAAGGAGCTGGACTGCAGGTATGGGCTGAGACCTTGTCTGGGGAAGGGCGGGTTGCAGCCGTGATGGGGGTGGGTGGCAAGGGCTGAGGCTGGCTTCGCCGGTTCCCCAGGGGTGGCCACGTACAACTGGCTGATGGCTCCGACCTGAGTTACGTGGAGGATGGCACAGCCTGCGGGCCCAACATGCTGTGTCTGGATCATCGGTGCCTACCAGCCTCTACCTTCAACTTCAGCACCTGCCCTGGCAGCGGGGCGCGCCGGATCTGCTCCCACCATGGGGTGGGTGCCTGGAGGCCAGGGGTGCCGGGAGGGGCTCCCAGAGGGGACAGGGCCCCCGCTCACCTCTACCGGCCCCACCCCACCTCTAGGTCTGCAGCAACGAAGGCAAGTGCATCTGTCAGCCAAAAAAAACAGGCAAAGACTGCAGCATTCACAACCCCCTGCCCACGTCTTCCCCCACGGGAAAAAAAGAGAGATACAAGGGTGAGGCTGGAGCTGGCCGGGGTGGGGCTCTGTCTCCCCCCTTCTCCATGCCTGTCCCCGCCAACCAAGCCCTGCCCTCCTCCCCAGGTCCCAGCGGCACCAACATCATCATCGGCTCCATCGCAGGGGCTGTCCTGGTTGCAGCCATCGTCCTGGGAGGCACGGGCTGGGGATTTAAGTAAGAGACACACACACGCCCCCCCCCGTCCCTTGGCGAAAAAAAGGGGTGTCAGAACCCCAGACCGTTGAAGCTGAGGGGCCTCCCTGAGAAGTCAGCTAAATAAGCTCACACATCACAGTCGGAGTCAGTCAGCCACACGGTCTTGTTTTGCTCAAAAAAACAAGAGATTAAAAAAACAAAAACAAAAACAGACGAACCAAAAACACCAAAAGAAAAAAAATTAACAATCCTGATTCCCAGCTTTTCTTGCAAAAGAAGACTGGGCCTCAGTAAAAAAAAGCACGGCTGTGGAGTGGAGCCCAGCAGGGGCTGCTGGAAACCGGCTGTGTCCTCCGTCCCTAGGCCCCACGTAGCCCACGGTGTTCTGTGGGCATCTGGGCCTGGGGCCCAAAAAAAGGTCTAACACCTGCACAGTGCAGAGGAGGGACCTGAGGCCCAGGGTCACTTGAAAAAAAAGTTGCTCAGACAGGACTCAAACCCAGGCGTCTCTTCCTAGGCCCATCATTAGTGACCCGGTCCTGGGGACCCTGGCCCATCTCTGGGGCCAGGGGTCTCATGGGAGCCAGGAAGGCCCTCCCTGAGAGAAGGGCAAGGTCACCGATGGCTCCTTTTCCTTTCTTTCTCTAAAAAAACTCTCCTTGGCTCCGGAAGAAACATCCGCCGGGGAAGGTACGACCCGACCCAGCAGGGGGCAGTGTGACGCCGGCCACGTCATCCCTCTCGCTGTCCCTGTCTTCTCCATCAAAAAAATCACCTCGCATTCTGTTGATGGGGAGCTGGGGGCTGCTTCCCCCACCCCTGCTGTCACTACAGGGGTGGGAGAGCCCCGCCCCGGGAAGGAAGTCCTCAGTCTGCCCTTGTAAAAAAATCCCGCCCACCTGCCCCCACAGGCCTTGGTCCTTTTCCTCCTGCCCTTCCTATGGGCAGACCACCCCTGGCCAGGTGGGTCCTGGAGCTGTGTCCCCCCGCAGCCCCTTCTAAAAAAAGGGGAGCCTACCTCTGCGTCCCATCTGTGTTGTCTTCCATGTCACCGCTGTCTGAACTTCCCACCAGATCCCCTCCCTGGCCAGCCTGTAACTTGCCGCCTCTAGGGCCTAAAAAAAACCTCCCAGGGCCCGGCTCAGGGGCTCTCCCTCTGGGCCCTGCCTCACCTCCTCCCCTGATGCCCCCTCTCCGTTCCAGGTCCGGAGGGGCCTAAGTGCCACCCCCCTCCCTCCGAGCCTGGCGCCCACCGTCTCTCCGCCCTGAACCACGAGGCTGCCCCTGCCCAGCCACGGAGGGAGGCACCATGCAAATGTCTTCCGGGCCCAAGCCTTTCAACTCCTGGCCCCACTGGGGGGGGCGGAGCTTGGCGGGGAAGGGGGCTGTGGCCCTGCCCTTCACTCCACCAGGGTGGACCAGGCCTGGGGCATTCCCCTCATGGTCCCCCACCCCGCCATGCGGCTTTGGCCAAAAAAACCAACTCTCCCTGTGTGAATGTAGCTTCCATCAACACGGATTGCCACAGCTCAAAAAAAGGGGGGCCGGTGAGAGGGATGCCCCCCAGTGGGCAGGGCCTGGGACGGCCCCTCCTCAAAACCAGGCAGCTGGGACCAGGGTTTTAACTCTCTGGGACTTCGGGGGAGGGGAAAAAAATCTACATTTTTTTTTTTTTTTTTTTTACTGAATCTTAACTGATGAATGTAACAAAAAAAGTGCTGGGGCGAGGGAAGTTATGGGGATATTTTGACATTTGTGGGAGGGACCAAAAAAACCAAGGCATGGCCATCCCCTGGGACCCTCCCCTGGGATGATCACACCCCAAGAAAAAAAACTGAACAGAGCCCTCCCCAAGCCAGGAAGGGGCAGGGCAGACTTGCGTGTCCCCCGGCGCAGCCCTGCTGACCTTGGAGAGAAGAATGAGTGCTGATTCAAACCAAAGCTGCCTGTTCTGTGCCCAAGGCCTAGGTTATGGGTACAACGACCACACATCCCAGATTGTCAAAAAAAGCAAAATGACCACCCTGTTGTCCCTGCCAGGACACATGTATTTGGGAGTCTAGAAAATCCAGTCCCTGAAATAAAATGGCACCTTCCCCCTCTTTCAAGAAGGGTGATTCTAAAAAAAACTCAGGGTTTAGGTGCCCCCCCCCCCAAGCACGGCCTAGGGGTCCCAGGCTGGGCCATCTTCCCAGGGAGGACTCTCCCAAGCAGGAAAGGCCAGGGGTGGCCCAGTGACAAAAAAATTAGGGGTTTTGCCTGTGATGTACAAGAGGAGGTAAGAAAAAAGGCAGGTCTCAGACATGATCCTCAGCTTCTAGAAAAGTCCTCAAGGCCCTTTCAGACCCACTCTGCTCAAAAAAACCATTCCAGGGCTGAGTAGTAAGTTTACAGTTGTTCTCCCATTCCATCCTCTAAAAAAAACCGCAGCTGAGCCTGACAGGCGGGCTGAGGCCGAGCGGCGGGGTTCCTCAGAAAAAAACCTGGCCTTCCCTCATGACCCATGGGACAGTGGAGCCTTGGCTCGACTGCTACAAACCAGCCCGCAAGGGCAAGATGAGGGTCAAGCTACCTTATGGATGAAAGCCACAAAGGAGCAGAGCCCCTTTCCCCAGGAATACCCCACCCAGACTCAGCAGGGGTTTCTGGACAAAAAAAAGGCCTTTGAACGGCCCGTTTCATTCAGCCCCTCTGTTTCTGGGGGCCTCTTTGAGGAGGAAATGGCTCCCTGTTTATCTGCACCACCCCTCAGGGCAAACTGGGGACTGAGACCCATTGACACCCTTTTGGGTGGCCGGATGCGGCTACAGTGGGGTCCTCAATACTGCGCTCCAGCTGGCACTGCCCAAGAGAAGGGGCTGGGTGGGGCGCCCCCTGGCCAGTCCTGCAAAAAAAGCCCCACACGCTGGAGCGGGGGCAGGAGGGAAAGGGCTGGGTTTGGCACTGCAAAAAAAGTTCTTTAAGGCCGCCTTCGCCGATACACGTGCACACAGCTGGTGACGCATCAAAAAAAAGCATTTGGATCCCCATCTCCGCACAAGTGTGAATACCTCTGCACATGCGGAAAAAAAACGTGTGCGCGAGCGTGGGGGTGGGCGTGAGGATGTGGAGGACTCCAGACTTCCTGTGACCAGTCCACCTGGCTCCCAGCTGTCTGCATCCTCCCGCCCCCCCACCTCCCCCAAAAAAAGGCAGCGCCCAGGGAGGAGTGTAGGCTGCACTGGCCTGGGTCTGGAAATGGCTCCATACAGCATCCTGTACATATGTCATCTGGGGCTCGGGGCGGGGAGGCAGGGACGAGAAAAAAAATTAAAGATCATGTCCTGGGGCTTCCATGGAGCTCACACCAACCTGCGTCTCTCCTTTCTGTAAATGACCGCACTGTGACTAGGGACCCTTCCCTGTCCTCCCCGGTCCTGAAAAAAACATGATGACTGCAGCGCTGGAGGTGGGAAGTGAGCACCCAGGCCTGGGCACTGGGACACTGGGACTAAGGGGTGTACTTTTCCGTTCCTGGCCAGGAAATACACGCTGATGAAAAAAAGGCCAGCCCTTCCGCTCCCTCGGCTCTCCTGGCAAAGATAAGTGCCTTCCTCAAAAAAAGGCAAAGCAGAAGGGGAGGTGAATAGAAAGCATCCTACTCAAAGGCGGGAGACCCAACTTCCCTTTTATGGTTACAGCCCGGAGAAGCCTCTTCTCGACTCCCAAGAGATTCCAGAAAGCTGGATAAAACCGCTAATCTGGTCCCAGGGCACCTGCTCTTAGGCCTGCAGAGAATTTGCTGTTTCTCATCTCTGCTCTCCCCCACCAGGCCTGGGGCAGGAAGGGACTGAGCTCGGCCAAGGCTCAGTGCCCCTCCCATGCCAGAGGAGCCTATTCTTCCCATCTTCCAAAAAAAAGGCTTTGGGCCTGGAGGTATCTGGCTCAGGGGAAAGATAAGAGGGGCGGTGAAAAAAAGGGGGCGGCCGAGCATGAAAGCAAGGTAAACTAGGGGGGGGGGGGGGGGGGGGCGGCCGAGCATGAAAGCAAGGTAAACTAGAGATTAATGGGAGCAAGAAAGAGCCCCGGTCAAGGGCCTGGAGAGAATGAGACGCTGGAAGCTCTAGAATTGTAGCCCCATTCCCAAAGGGGTGGGTCTCCCAGGACCACCCTAGTTCACATGCAGAGAGAGCAGGAAAAAAAGCAGTGCCAGCCTAGGTTCCTGGTCTGCGCCCTGTTCTGAGTCCCCCAGGATAAAAAAAACACCCCCCCCCCCATTCTTCCCACCCTGGCAGACCAGGCAGCCCAGCCAGAAAAAAAATCCAATCCACAGTCACTGCCTGCCATCTAGGCTTGCTGCATCTGCTCTGGGTAAAAAAACTTCTTAACTTTTCCCATTGCAGCTGCCTCTCCATTCTTCCTTCCTCATGCCAAAAAAATGCTCGCTTCTGGGTCTGTCCTGACCTTCAGACTCTGATGGGTCACACAGCTGAGCCTTAAGGGGGTGAAAAACGTGGCTTCTGGCGGAGGGCATGGGTGAGGCTTATCACAGGTGACTCGTGAAGGTCGGTGCTCAGTCACTCTTGACACCTGCTTCTCAGCCTCAGGCAAAAAAACAGAGCCCCAGGAGTTGGCTGTGTGAGCGCCCAGAGGAGCAGGAAGCTGCAGAGCAGAGGGGGCCTGGCGGGGGGGAGAGTGGGAACATCAGGGAGGTGGCCTCAGCCCTCTGCCACGGGGCTGCCCTCTGATGGCAGCACACCTCTCCCATCTGCCCAAGTGGAAGCCTAAAAAAACTGGAATGAACACCAGACCTGGTCCAAACAGATCATCCGGAAAAGTACTTACTTTGGCTTCAGAACTTCTCACAGGCCATTCTGGCAGAGTGTTTCCCAAAGAGTGTGGAGAAAAAAAAGAAACTCAAAATTTGCTGTGAAGGCCACTACTGTGAGAATTCCCAGGTATAAAAAAAAGATATAGTCTGCTTCCAGATCCTTTGATAAGATCACCACCCCAGGCTGTCTCAAAAAAACCCTCCCTAACCCAGCACTCACCTGTTCAGAATTTCTGGATGGATCGTGGATAAAAAAATCAGTTCCCAGTTCTATGTGTGGCCTCCTCAGTGCCCTTCTGAGTTGAAGGTGGCCACGAGGGACAGCTGGGGTCACTAAGCCCACTCTGCACCAGCCAGTGCTCGGAGTGAAAAAAATGAGTCGAAGGAAAGATTATAAATTCATCATGGTTCATCCCAGTGTCTAGACAAAAAAAGTCCAATAGAATAAAGTGCGTGGTCCATAGGGGCAAGCTACGTATGTATCTTAAAAAAATCTAGTAACCTCATTAAAAAAAGAAACAGGTAGAGTTAACATTAATACAACTAAAAAAATCAAATATACCCAAAATATTCTCATTTCAACATGTAATCAACATAAAATGATAAAAAAAAATGAAATGGTTTTTTTTTTTTTTTTTTTTATCTTTGGTACTAAGTTTTAGAAAAAAAAAATATATTTTGGACTGAAAGTGCATGTCAATCTGGACTAGCCACATTTCAACAAAAAAATGTGGCCGGCCAGTGGCTACCATATTGGACGGCGCAGGTCTAGGCAAGAAGTGCTAAATTGCGCTATCTCAGTCCAGGAAACCCTGCAAGAAGCCAAGTCCAGAAGAGAGGAAATGAACGAGGGCAGGAGAGACCAGGATGCGCTGCAGAGGACAAGACCTCCTTCAAGCAAAAAAAGGATC